AACTCTCAAACCAATACTTTATTAAATGCTTACTATGTGATAGACACTGTTCCAAGCACTTGCATTTGATCATTAAAAATACTCTATAAGATAACTGGTATTGCTATCATCTCCATTTTATAGATAGGAGTACTAAGGCACTGAGAAATTCAATAACTTGCTCAAGATCAAGAAGGTAAGTGGTAGAGCTCAGATTTCAGCCCAGGTCATCTGACTCCAAAACCGATGTGACTGAACACTGTATTAATTGCTTCTTTACAAAGTTCTTTTTTTAAATGAAAATTATAGTTGAATGTTGTCTTATAATCACAATTACATTGTTTCATGTTAAATAATTCTTTTGAGTTTTACAGATTTTTATATAATAAAAAGTAACCAGAAAAACATTAACTTGCTATGAAGTGAATCTATAAAATTAATTTAAAGCAAAATTTACCTTGACTCTACTGGGAAAGGCTCATAAAGAAATTTTTTGTAAAAGTCTTTCTTTATGTCATGAACCAGAATTACAGCTTTGCCTTGGTCATCAAACTGTGGCCTCCCAGCACGTCCCATCATCTGGAGGACATCTATAAAAGAGAGAACAAGAAGTATTCTGCAATGTGGCACAGAGCACAACATATATTTACTGATTATGGCTTGCTTCTACAACACAACAAAATCACATCAACCATAAACCAGAATATTTTAATAGCATGTGTCTATCTCTGATGGCTACTATTGAGTTCCCTAGATTAATATAACTTATTCACAAACTTATAATGAAATAAGCAAGTCACTATGATGGAAAATTGAGTCCCCAAGAAGGGTCTCTCTTACTATTCATAAAAGAAAGATGAAAGTTTCCTTTAGTTAAATGCTTAAACATGCAGTTTGAGAGATATTACTGTTTTAAACAAGAAGTAAAACATATACAGGAAAACATCTTCAGCAGAGTCATTCCCCATGAATAAGGGGTTCATTTAGGCCTCACTCTCCTCCTACCAATGATATAAAATTTCTTTGTTTTATACTGCCGGAATCTCTGAGGTAACTAACGATTTAGAAATGACATAGCTTTTACATGTATTCGTTGAGTGGAAATAGACATTGAGTATATTTCCTTCTTTAGAACTCACTGAAAATGCTTTTATCAAGTTTTAAAATGTCTTAATAGACTATTCTTGCATAAATTTTAGCAACAAGCTCTTTGGTTCTGAAAGTCCCATGGAAGTATCATTTCTGGTGAAATACATTTAAAGCTAAACATCATAATACTTAGTCATAATTTATTAAATCAATAAATAGTACTTTATTTATGAATTTTAAACCATGTTATATTTTTGATGCTTTTTAACAAATCCAGCAAATAAAAGTAAATAAAAAAGCTCAATATTTTATATAGTATTTGCACTGGAAGCAAAGAATTTATTATTTGCTCATCATATGTTTAAATGTAACCAATCCTCAGAAATATAACTTATGCAAATTCAAATTGTTAAGTCTAAAACAGGAGCTTAATGTATCCCTGTACATTTTTAAAAATTACCTGTAATGGGAAAATCCACATAACGTCTTGTTTTTCCATCATAATATTCTGTTCCCTTAATAATTACTAAATGAGCTGGAAAGTTTACACCCCAGGCTAATGTGCTTGTAGCAATAAGAACCTAAAAAATAAAAAGTAATATCTTACATCTAAGTAAAATACAACTTTTTACGTTACATTTACATATGTGTTCATGGGAGAAAAAAAGAAGTACCTGAACTTTACAGTTCACAAATAGTTCTTCTACTGTTTTTCGGTCCCTCTCATGTAATCCAGCATGGTGCATTCCTATCCCAAAAGCAAGTGTCAGCTTCAGGTTGGAATCTCGTACCGTTCCAATAATGTTCTCCATCTGTAAATAAAAACACAATTACAAGATGTAGGTGCATAAGCTTTAAAATTTTCATGGTAAGACTGTATTTGATTTTGTTTTTTGCTTTTTGTGATATCATATGGGCATAAAAATAAAGGCCTCATCTACAGTTATGATAAAAGTTAAATTAATTGAAAAGAATATCTACTTGGTGAGAATATATATTCTAAGTAATCTCAAGTTTTAT